CCCCCTCCTCCCGCCACTCACCAGCCTGTCTGCCACTCCCCTGGCTTAGAAGAGATCAGATGGCCAGACAGCTGGGGGCTGCTGAGCTGTCCAGAGGCTGCCAAAAGGGTATTCCCAGCCCAGTATGGGCTACTCAGTGCGGCCTTGGGCCTGTCCACCCGAAGGCAACAGAGCAAATGCTGCAGGTTCCAGCTCCAGTCCTGCTGCACCTCCCTCTGTATGCTGCTGCTCTTCCTGACCTGCTCAGCAGGATCTCTGCCCAGTGCTGGCCCCCTCCTGCGCCTCACTCGCACACAGACTGGTCGCTGGGAGGGCCACCATGCTCCTCAAGCCACCCAAAGGGGACTGCTTTGCCAGGTGCTTGGTGGCTCTCACAGGAGGCCACAAGGTCAGCCTTCCTGGGTCCTTAGGAGGAGGGGCTTGCAGGCTTGGGCCAGCAGCGGAACCCCTGAGAACAGAGGCCCCATGTGGAGCTGGGTGCAGAGGGAACAGGATGGCAGCTCCACCGGGCAGGGAGGGAGGGCGGCGTTACCGGGCTGCATCCCCGAGCCCATCCCCAGCACTCCCCCTCCTCTCTCCTTTCTTCCATTCTTCCCCATGTCACGGCTCCAGGTCACCAAGGAGGACCGGCCATGACTACTTCAGAAGCTCTGTGTGGGTGTGCACTCACGTCAAGGCCAGTGAGTCAGCGCCCTGACATTGAAGCGCCCRGCTCTGCAGACTGTCCCCGCTTTCCATAGCGGGAAGCACCACCCCAAGCCTTACTGAAATGAGGCCAGCGTCCTGCAGAGGGCAGAGCAGCACCAAGAAATGCACCTGTAATGCACAGGCACCCACGGCACCCACCTCACCCACGCTGCTCACCCATACACGCAGACGTGGTCCAAGCAGGGAAAGAGCAATCAGAAAATGAAACCAGTTCGTTCTCACTTTTCTCTGTGACAGCAGAGAACCTAGAACCCTCAGCCCCAAACTCAGAGTCACAAGAGCAAGAACAATGGATACTGTTCTTTCATGCAGAAAAAATACTAAAAACACCACCATGTTTCCAGGACGGGGACCCCTCTGGCTCAGACCCGGGTTCATCAGCGGCCAAAGGGAGAAGGGAGAACTCAACCAGAGAAGAGCAAGCAGGCAGCCTGGCCTGGCGGGAACGAGGGATGGAAGACACGAGACCGTTTCCAACTCCAACCCATCTCCAAGGAGGTGAGCAAGAGCGGCCTGCCCACATATGCATGTATACCATGCACCTGCCACTGTCCTGTGGCTCCAGGGACCCCGGACCACAGCCATGGCTACTTTGCCAGTGTCACCTGTCAGAGAGTAGAGCCATGTTGAAATCTAGGTTTCCCACACCACCTGATGCCCACCCCGTGCTTCTTCCTGCAGGGTGTCCAGGCCCAGGCCATTGGTCAACAGGCATGGCTTTGCCCCTCAGGGTCTGCCCCTGCACAAGGGGCCAGGACAGTCAAAGAATGAGGCTGCTCTCTGCAGGCCCCAAACCAAGCTGTCCACCTTACCAGGTCCTCAGGGGCAGGAGATTATGGCCTTGCCTTCCTGTTCCAGGGACAAAGTATTTAAGTGGGTTTTGAGCCAAGGCCCCAGGTTGGATTTTCAAAGCCAATGGATTCAGTAAGTTGGTGTCCAGTGCTCATGATTCCCCCACCATCCTTGAGGCTACCCCAGCACAGAGGCCACATGGCCACAATGCCCAGGCCCACTCCTCCAGAGGTTGACACAAGGACGTAAAGTTGCTCCGAGCCACCTGCAGGCCCAGTGGCCGTGACAGGCTCCAGTGCCCCCCAGCAGGGCAGGTTTGGCAGTGCTTGCTGCCACCCTCAGGCAGTTCATGTCACATCCCAAAAAGGGTGTCACCAACCTCTGAGCCTTTTAGAAAACCCTAACTGCCCCTTTGGGTTTCTCTGCAGGCCCCTCCAACCCCAGGCAGACCGCATGGTGGCCCCAAGGGTGTGTCTACTGAAACCTCAGAGCATGATCATTTTGGAAAAAGGTTCTTTGCAAATATAAGTTAAAGATCTCAAGATAAGATTGTCCTGGATTAGCTGGTTAACAAGGGGAGAAGATCAGACATGATGCATCTACAAGCCAAGAACACCTGGGCCCACCAGAACCTGGGAGAGGCAGGAAGAACCCTCTGGGAACAGGCAGGGCCCCGCGGCCAGCGAGTGCACCCTCTGCCCTCCAGAGGAGAGAATAAATTTGTTTTTAGCTCACCCCATCTGAGGTGCTTTGTAATGGTAAACTTGACCGTGACCCCACCTTGGGAGGCAAGAGGGCAGGAGCAGGGTTGGGAGGCTCTGAAAATCCTGGGATCTCCACTTCCCAACCAGCATGCCAGGCTCTGCGCCAACACCCACAGGCTCAGGCAACCCAGAGCTCGGGGCCTGAAAGACCTGGAGGTTTTCCCCTGAAGAGGGACAGGCTGGGGTCTAGCTCAGCGGCAGAGGGTTTGCAGGCACGCGCAAGAAAGGCTCTGGGCTCAATCTCCAGCACCATTAAAAAAAAGGGGGGGGGGGAGAGGAAATGGTCCTGGCAGTGTGTGGACAGGCAGTGTGCAGCAGGACACCTTTCCTTCCCCTGACCCACAGCCCAGGGCCAGAGCAGCAGGCCTCCCCAGCCCAGACGCTTCGCAGGCCAGTGTGCAGGACTCCACAAGCCCCTTGCCTCTCCTCRCTGCAGAGGTGAGTAAGGAGGGTGGGAGCACGAGAGCCAGGAGACTGCCTCATCCTCCTTGTACTCTCAAACCCCAGATCACCCTGCCCGGCACTGCAGCCCTGCTGGCACTGGTCCCACAAACTCGTTCCCCTTGGGCACAAAAATGCACCTTGGATTCAGGCCCAGAAATAAAACCCAAATCAGGGTCAAGGTTCTACTCCCTTCTCGTCAGCATGTTTTCCCTGGCCCAGGGCAAGGGGCTGCTCTGCTGCCTGCATGAGACCCAGGAGTGGGCCCAGGACTCAACAGTGTGCAGGAGGCAGGACCCTGAGGGTCCTGAGGTGAGAGTCTGCACCAAGCCACAGCCATCAGCCGTTAGCAGGAATACGAAGGCCAAGGGCACGTGCCACACCTGGCACGAAGGGCTTCAGGAGCCCTGGCACCAGACCCCGACAGAGATGGTGCCCACTACAGGAGGCTCAGAAACCAGGCCCACGTCCCCCAGTGCAATTACAGAAAGAGGGGACACCTGCTTTGTGGCACAGAGCCCTGGACACTAGGGTCAGTCTCCACAGTGGCCTCTCCAGCCCCATGCCAGGCCCCTGGGGCATTCTGTGGTCTCTCTGATGCAGTATTAGGGCATTAGGCCTGGCCTAAGCCTAGACCTTCTCCTTTTCTAGCTTTTCTTCCCCCACTTTTGGCCATGTAGACAATACTCTGGCGTTCCAACTTGTGTAGTGTTGACCAAAACCTCCACTACGGTGACTCTGGACCTTAGGGAATGCTCCCATGGACCTGGCTCTGAAGGCTGGTGAGCGCTGCTCCAGATYCGTTTCCAGGCTCTGCCCCTCCTGTGCTGACTGAGGCTGTGCAAGCTGGATGGGCAGGTTAGCCAGCCATCCCAGCCCGCCCCACCCAGCCCACTGCTTCTCCCTGCCCAGTGGTGCTCAAATACAGGGGTGGAAGAGCACAATGCCAGCATGGGCACCTGTGGAGCCACCGATAAGGATGCTGGGCATTGGGACCCCAGGTAAGAAGCACAGCTCTTCCCCGAATGGGTTGTCCGGAAGAGCCTCTCCCTTGGCAACAGGCACACTATGTCCTCCTCCTTGGTGCAGAAGCCGAGGCACATGCCTGGAATTCAGGAATCAGGAACCCTGCTGAAGGACCAGGACAAGAGGAAGAAGAGCAGTTTACCCAGTGAAGGGAAGAGGAGAAGCAGCAGGCAGGTGGGGAGGAGGGGAGGAGGGACGGGACAGAGAGCCACAGCGGCTTGCACAACTGCCCGGGTGGGTAGGGCTGTGCAGAGCCCAGCCTGGCTACCCCTGCACCCCTGCTCCACTGAGCTACATCCCAAGACCCTTTTTAAATTTTTATTTTGATACAGGATCTAGCTAAATTGCCCAGGCTGACCTCAAACTTTAGATCCTCCTGCCTCAGCCTCCCAAATAGCTGGGATTACAGATGTGAACTAGAACACCCAGCAGGTGGCCCTTCTTCATGTCCTGCAATGCTCAGCACAGGGACTGGGTGTGCACAGCAGGAGCCCAAGGACCTGCCATATCTGCCCTTGTCACAGACCATGCCAAAGGTGGGCAGGCAAGGGGGCTATCACCTGGCCAGGCCCACCCAGCACAATACCCTGGTTCTGCCTCAGGCCCAGCCTAACATCCACTGTATCCAGGTCCCCTCCTGACCATCCAACCATAACCAGGAAGCAGTAGGTGCCTGGCCTACAGCAACACGTGAAGACACAGTGGGCTCCAGGAATGGACAGCCCAAGAGCTGGCCCAGCCTCCTGACCACTGGCCTGTCTGCAACCTTACTATCCTCTCCTTTGTGAGGCCCACAGAGGACAAGGGGCAGAACCTGGAGGCCAGCGCAAACACCTGCCTATCTCACCGTCCTGCCTGGACATTGCCCGCGAGGGCCGGGTCCTACCAGCTCTGACTCCTCCAACCCTGCTGCATTTTTGTCGCCTCCAGGGAGCCCCCGCCCACGGCTGGCCTGGAGGCAGGAAGCCGGAGGCACTCGCCGGACGCCACAGCTGGTGAACCGGCGCTTGGTCCCACCTGAGCACCCCCCACTCCAAGCCCCCGCCAATCCGCCAGCAGGGCTCCCCGCCCCCGCCCACCAGCCCAAGGAGCAGGCTCATGGGCGCGCCAGGCTCTGGCCGCAGCGCCCCGAAATCCAGACCCCAGCGGGGGCTCACTGCGGGACCCCGCCAAGGTCACGGCTGGGGGCGACCGGCCACCCCGCCGCGGATCCACACGCAGGGCGCGAGTGCAGCCGAGCCGGTTACGTAAGCCGCGCGGAGCGCGTACCTGCAGCGGGAACGTGGCCGCCCGGTTGCCCACGTAGCCGCGGACGACGTGGCTCTGGATGGAGAGCACCCGGCACTCCTCCTCCATGCCGGGCGGGCGCGGCGGCGCGGGGCCGGGGCGGTGTCACGGTCTCGGCGCTCGCTCCGGCTCCCCGATCGCGGCTMTCCGGCGCGCGGCCCGGCTCGCGCAGGCGCTGGGCTCGGACGCTGCCCGCCTCCTCTGACCTCAGCAGCCGCTGCGAACCCGCTAGCCCCGCGCGTCGCGGGGCGGGCCGGGGGCGGGCCGGGGCGGGAAGCGGGCGGGCACCTCAGCGCAAGCCCCGCCTCTCCCGGGAGCGGGAAGCGAAACCCGGGCTGGGGCCCTCGCTCCGGCGGCGACTTTGCGTCCCCGCACGTGGGCGCCCACCCTCTAARCGCCGGTCCGCACTCGGTATACCCGGAAGGGCTGGGCAGCGCCGTCTGTTCGTTTACTGATTCATTCGTTGCCCGCACCACGGCACAGCGCTCCAGTGCGCAGCTGGACACAAGTCCATCCCACACCCAGCGCCGCGAAGGACACCGGCGGGGGCGCGGGCCGACACCGCTGCGCACTCGGGCAGGCTGCACTCTCAGGGCCCAGGGCCCCAGAGCCCACGGGGAGCCGCGCACAGCTTTGTGGAGCAGACATGCCCACACCACCAAAAGACGCTGGAGGACCTCTAGTGTTCCCCACCAGGGGCGCAGCCTGCAGCAAAGAACAACCCTCAGCCGCCAGTGCCTGGCCCTTGGCCACAGGCTGCCCCCAAGTTGGGCCACGTGTTTGGCAGGTTCAGGTACTTGCCCACTAAGGATGGCCTGAGGCCTGAGCCCAAGCAACTCCACTGTCAAACTCCAGTTTGAAACCTGCGTCTCCCCAGGCACACCCACAGAGCCCCCCAGTGTGGCCCTCAGGCACCAACCGGTCACTCCCCCACCCTGACAAGCTCAGAGTGAAGTCTCTGGCAGGCTGTCCTGGCCCAATAAGGGGGAAAGGCCCCCATAAGAGGGAAAGGCGAAAAGATCAGTGTGGGAACCACCAGACCAGATGCTTTAACCCAGGGTCACTGAGAGACACCCATGGCAGCTGATAAGGATTGAAAGGGGGGTTAAAAGCCCCCAAATATTGGAGCAAATGAGCAGACATTCAGCCAATCGACACTGACACACACAACCCTGAGAGCTTGATGAGGACCTGGACTGACATCCCAACTCTTCCCATGTGCCTGATCCTCKGCATTGTTCTCACCACCCTCAAACCCTACAGCCACATTTGGCCCTGTGAGAGCTGCAACTTCTCCCTATGACCCTCTCCTCAGCCAGCCGTCACTTCCACCCAGGAAAAGCCTACCTTGGTTCCTGACCTGATCACCGTGGTCTGACTGTGCATCTGCTAGACTCAGAGCCTAAGACTTGAGACTTCTGATCTGACACTTGAGCTTTGCATGCAGAGGGAATGTCTGTCATGAGTCTGTCGTGATTAAGTGTGTTTGCAGTGCTTAGATTTAATCCAGAATTGTATGCTGGGAATTGATTATGTCTATTGCCGTGCCCAGAGTTAAGGATTGTCATTGCATAAGAACCTATAGAGTGAAATTGTATTAAGTGATTTAAGTAAATAAAGCATTGAAAAGGGCAGAAGTGGGGCTGGGGATGTGGCTCAAGGGGTAGCGCGCTCGCCTAGCATGCGTGCGGCCCGGGTTCGATCCTCAGCAGCACCACATACCAACAAAGATGTTGTGTCCACCGAGAACTAAGAAAAAATAAAAATAAAATGTTAAAATTCAAAAAAAAATATTAAAAAAAAAAAGAAAAGGGCAGAAGTGCATGGACATTCTTTATCTCTCCCCTGGACTCCAGATGTCGCACCTTTTGCTCTCTCGACACCCACCTAGGTCCTTCCAGGAGGATGAACCTGACCCTGCCCTTCGTCTCCCAACCCAGCCTTCTCCTGAGCTGACGTGAGGGCACAACTCCTCCAGGTTGTGGGTCTTGGACATGTCGCTTTKACCCTTGGGGTCAGTGATATAGACAGCACATGAGAGCAAGCRTGGTACCCTGCAAGAAGAGGGCATTGCTTAGGGAACATTTTCAAGAGAAAGTACATTGTAATTAATAATAATTAATCATCATCCATACCTATACTCCAAGAAACTTGGGATGCTGAGGCACAGACAGGAGAATCCCAACTTCAAGGCCAACCTGAGCGACTTAGTGAGACTCTGCCTCAAAAAATAAATAAATAAATAAATAAATAAATAAATAAATAAATAAATAAACGGTACAGCCACGTCAATGTTTATAGCAGCTCAATTCACAATAACTAAGCTATGGAACCAACCTAGGTGCCCTTCAACAGATGAATGGATGAAGAAAATGTGGTATATACACACAATGGGATATTACTCAGCCATAAAGAACAATGAAATTATGGCATTTTCCAGTAAATGGATGAAAATGGAGACTATCATGCCAAGTGAAGTAAGCCAATCCCAAAGAACCCAAGGGGGATAGAAGTTCACTGGATTAGACAAAGGGGAGTGAAGGGAAGGGAGAAGGGAAGGGAATAGGAAAGACAGTGGAATGAATCAGACATTACTCTCCTTCGTTTCCTACATGACCAGTGTTAACTCCACATTATGAGCGACCACAAGAATGGGAAATCATACTCCATATATGCATGATATGTCAAAATACACTACTGTCATGTATCTAAAAAGAACAAATAACTTTTTTTTTTTTAATTAAAAGGGTTGGAGACATAGCTCAGTGGTAGAGCACCGCTGGGGAATCTATTGCCAATTAGTAACAGCTAACATTTTTGGGCACTTGCTATGTGCTAAGCACATTTTATCACTCACTGACTCTTCACAAACACCAGTACTGTGGGGTCCATCCCATTTTACAGACGGGGAAGAGGGAAAGGCCAGCGGTCACAGGGCTGCTGACCAGTGTTGCTGAGTGGGAATCCACGGCAGCCAGAGTGCCAACCATGCCCTCATGCCCCTGTCCTGTCCTGCCCTGTGAGACCACCCCCTTGGCTCTTGGGATCCGARGAATCCGTCTCTCTTTGCGGCTGATCTCAGCCCTCCCCACGCTGAACTGTGGCCCTGCTCCTCTCCCTGGGCAGACATAACCAGCACCCTGCCCCCCACACSTTTACCCAGGTGAGTCAAAGCGCTGAGAGGAAGGAGCAGAGGCAGAAGGAGCCCCTGTCCTTCAGGCCTGTGGGCTCTGAGACGCTCCTTGACAGGGCCCAGCTGCCCTGAAAGTGACACTTCATGAAGACACTTGCTCTTACTCTTTTGGACCTTGAAAGATCTGGTTGCTAGTCCCCAGCTGTTACACGGATGTCCCGAGGCTGGGTCTTGGACTAGCCACAGCAGAGTCTCCCGGGAAACACCAGGCCCATGCCCAGGCCTAGCCCTTTCCTACCTCACTGGGCCTGGCCTCTATGCTTCCTTTTGGCTCTCCCTGGGCTTCTGAAACCCTCCCCCAAARGATGAGAGCCACTATTTAGGCAGATGAGTTAATCGGGCATTTTTAGGAGCACATGTCGGTAGTCACTAATGATCAGTCCAAGCATATATATATACCTTTTTCCTTCACAACTCAGAGAGCAAAGACCCAAATGTAAAAAACTACAGCAAACCCACACCAAGGCACATTATAATGACAGTGACGAACATACAGAATAAGGATGGAATTTTAAAGTCTGCAAGAGAAAAAAAAATCAAATTACATATAGGGGAAAACCAATTCAGATTTCAGCTGATTTCTCAACCCAGACCCCCAACGCCAGGAAGTCCTGGAATAACATGTGCCAAGCTCTGAAAGGAAATGCATACCAACCAAGAATTTTATATCCAGCAAAATTAAGCTTCAGATTTGAAGGTGAAATAAAAACCTTTCATGATAAACAAAAGTTAAAAGAATTCCCAACTAGAAAGCCTGCACTACAGAATATTCTCAGCAAATATTCTACAAGGAGGAAATAAAAGAAAAGAAAGAAAGCCAGCAAATGGAGGTGCTATATAAAGGAAAGGTCAATCAAAGGAGAAACAAAGTCAAGTCAAAAAACAAAATAAACCAAAATGACCAGGAATACAAGTCACATCTCAATTATAACCCTGAATGTTAATGGCCTAAACTCATCAATCAAAAGTCATAGACTGGCAGGTTTGATTTAAAAAAAAAAAAAAAAAAAAGATTCAACAATATGCTGCCTCAAGAGACTTATCTCAGGGCTGGGATTGTGGCTCAGTGGCAGAGCACTTGCCTAGSATGTGTGAGGCCCTGGGTTCGATTCCTAGCACCACATTAAAAAAAAAAAAAAGTCAAATAAACAAAATAAAGGTATTGTATCCATCTACAACTAAAAATTTTTTTTTTTTAATTTAAAACAAAGAGACTCGTCTCATAGGAAAAGACATCCACAGACTGAAGGTGAATGTTAGGAAAAAACATAAGTTGTCTGCAGGGCAGGCTGAACAATGTTAGCTGCAGGATGGCCTGGTTCTTATCACCTGTTTGCTTCAAGCCCAAGCGCCCAAGGCCCACTCAAGGCTGAACACTCAACCCCCTGCTCAAGGCCGAACACTTCACCCTGTAACAGCATGACTTTAAGACAAGACAGGCTGGGCCACCGAGTGAGAACTTCATACCTCCAGGAGTCTGGTGGGGGAGATTATTCATGGAGAAAGAAAAGAGGAAGGGTGAGGGGATTCTTCCTATAGGGTTCATCTCCATGGGAATCTTTGGATTTTCCTCCCATCCAGCTGCAACTGAGCTGGGCATAGTGGTGCACGCCTGTGATCCCAGAGGCTCTGGAGGTTGAGGTGAGAGGATCGCAAGTTCAAAGCCAGCCTCAACAATTTAGAGAGGCTCAGCAACTTAGCAACACCCTGTCTCAAAATAAAAAAATTGAAAGTGTTATGGGCTGATTTGAAAATTATCCCAGACTGACCCCATTTTATTCAGACACCTCCTCCTGGGTGAACTGGTCCCTCCACCTGAGTCCTCTCTGGTAAAAGCTAACCCTCCACCCACAACTATTTGCACCCTGACCACAGTATCCTTGCTCTGTGGGACTAATGCAAGATTGTTTTTCTGAGAATGTGATTTCTCAGATATTGTGACTCTATGGCTCTGTTTGGTAACTTTCCAT